TTACCTAGGTTCTGGGCCCACAGAGAGTCTACCAAGGGACTATCGCCCTCAGTAAACAAGATCAACAGCCTGATGGTGGATCATGCCCCTCCTGTTTGAAGTCTTATCTGTGGTTTCTGGCCCAGACAGGGATACACTCAATACTGATCTCTACTCCTATTAGCAGTGGGAGGGCTGGAGAAGAGTTATGAAAACAAACCATTTTCTAACATTTTTCTGGACTTATTTTCTGCTATATTTAACTGACACAATTTAAACGTTACTCTATTTGCAACTAAAAAGTAAGCAGTGATCTTGGGTCAGAAGATAAACCACAATAAGAAGTCTCCCAAACTACCCTTGGAGCACTTGTACTGCTGGGCTTGAACCCCAGGTAGGAAGGAAACAAATAAGCCAAAGAAAATAAGGTGAAATTAGCAGCTTTTTATAAACAGGAGCAGTGTGTGTAAACATTCTGAGCACCAGGATTAGTCAGAACAGGCCACTAGGATGAGTACTGGGTTCCAACTCCCCCAAAGGCAGACCCAGGCAAGGATGGAGGAGACCCTGATTCAGCTGCTTCCAGAGCTGGTTCACATACAGCCTGCATTCCACTCTGAGTGCAAAGGAGGAATCCCAAATGTGCAAGCTGAATTGTAGACTGAGGTGGAATTCTTCCAGCCGGTCTGCAGGGCTGGTTTTTACTGACGTCTAAACCTTGATACTACTCCTTCCCAGACCCAGGCAGCTCTCTGGAGGACAATGTATTGCTTCTTGTGGGTTCAAGGAAGGCATGCATTCACGTTCTGTGCCCTAATGCTTTAAGGAGAGCTTGGCTCCCGGCATGTGGGATGCAGATGGACTGTGCACACATTATGGTTTTAGGTTAAAAACATATCCCATCAAATATTTATTGAGCCACGACTATGTGCCATGCCCTATTCTAGGCTGTGGCAGTAGAATTCTATGCACCAGAATAAATGCAAACAAAACCACTAGCTTTCAAACCCAACAGCCCACAGTTAAGAGATTGGAAAGGAGAGGAAGCCTGGGCACTGAGCCTCCCCTCTGTGTCTCACCCAGCATCTGAGGCAGGGCATCTGAGCTCCCATGTGGCAGTGTGTTGGTGAACTGTGGAGTAAATCGAATGAATGTAGACAATCTATTAAGGCAATATAAGGAAAACCTCCCCCCCTAATTCTTGGAGGCAGATCACTGTCTCAGCCCTTCTGAGACAATCTTGGCCAGTATGGACTGCCTCACTGAGAGTCCGAGGAGGTCATTACTCAGCCCTCATCAGGCTGGCTGCAGATGCAGCCTGCTCTGCTGATGTTTAATCAAGTGGAGAGATTTAACCAAACTTATTCTTGGATGGTGTGTGGGTACCTTCTGCTCCTCTTGCCTGAAATTCTCCTAACACGCTCTGAATGGTATACCTTTCTGGATTGGGGCATCTCTCTTTTGAGCATAGAATGAAAAATCTCACAACTTCCAGTTTCTCAAATGAGCCAATGAAGTGGCTTTCTTAGAGATTATAGGCTGTTCTTTTAAATTCAGAGCTTGTTGAAAGAAGCAAGCAAAGCTTTAAATATTACAAATGCTTCTGATGGAAGGATAACAAAGGTGTCAAGGATCTGACAGACTGTCGTAGCATGCTCTTTTCGCGTAATGGATCCTTTTGAAAGCCCATGTTTCTGAGCATGGTTTCACCCTTCTAGGTGCCTCCTATGCAAGTTACATCACCTTGACAGAGCTAGTTCTCTCACTGTAATAAAAAACACCCCCACTAAGTGAATCCCCTAAAATTGTGTGCTCTGAAACAGATGACAGCTGAAATCTGTTGAGAGAAACAAAAACAAATGATTGATGGGGATTCTGAGAACACTGCTGTGTGGGAAGAATTCTTTTCACCCCCTTATTGGTGTGGTGAGAGGTTGTGGTGAAGTAGCTCTTCCTCTCTGAGAATAGCCTGACCTTCTCCTTTCATTCTCACACCTGCTTTACCAAAGCCGGTATTTTCCTTCAGCAAAAGAGAGTGGAAGGTGCTCTTCAGGAGGGAAACCCACTAAAAATATGAGCTACCAACCAGTAGCTGAGGTTTTGATAATGGACCTTGCAACTACCAGAAAGGTATACTGTATCAGGAAAAGAAAATCCCTAAGTGTTAATGACCTATTTTCTTTCATTCTAGATTCTTCTCTTTTTTCTTCATAAGTGGACCTCATTTGTTTATTTTTCTCTGGAGTATTATAAAAATTCTAAGAGCTATTGAACACCATTGATGCAATTTCTGTTTCACCAAGTTCTTGTGAGCACCATAGGCTTCCTGTTCCCATTCTGCTCCCAACGCTGGAACTCTGGCAAGCAGCCCAAGCAGGCAGAGGGTCACACCCAGCTTTACATGACACTGCCCACGTAACTATCATTCATCTCTTTCCTTCTGCTCTAGACCCCACAATAAATTTAAGAGGGACACTGTAAGCTCAAATTCCTGGGATTTTTAAGCAAGATTTGAGTATGTAGTGTGTAGTCCTGTCATCAAAGACTTGGGTAACTTTTTCTTTACTGACTGTTCCACTTGGCATTCAGAGACTGGTATTGATTCTGGGAACATCTTGATCTTAAACTTGAAAGGTTTGAGTTGCTGGTCTCCTAGAAACGCTCAGACCACATGTGGAACTGATGACAATCAGTGCTGTGAGCTAGCCTTAGAACAGAATAAGGACCTGTAATTGAGAGGAAATGACAGACAGTAGAGGGGCTTGCTCCTTGCAGGGTTATAGCGAGCCTCAGAGTGCTTCCACCTTGACGGCATAAAGTGCTACACAAATGTAGGTGTTATCAAATGTCAGGCATTACCTTAGGAAATCCAGATCATTCCTTTAGTTTCTAAGGAAACTGGGAAATAAATTCCATTCCACGCATTTCATAGTTAGTCATGCCTAAAATCTCACTTAACAATATCATTCAACCACCACTTACGTAAGGTTATCTTTGAAGCTGCAAAGGGGATATTAGTAAATCACCATTAATTTAAGCTCTACTAGTTGAGCTTAAGTTTGCTTTTGTCCCAACTATACTAAAAAAAACTGGGTTGTTAAGCAAGTCAGTGTGTAAAGATGATTATAGGGTTGTGCCTATGTTCATATAGTATGTGTTTTATAGATACTTGCAGATATCTATTTGCACATAAATGTAATTAGGAATTTGTTCATGAAAAGTTCCCACATATCTTTTTAAAAAGTCCCAGGCCAACTGTTAGTTGACAAGACTTTATTTGCATAACTGTTACACAAGCTATTTTCCAGGTAAATGAGGTATTCCTATATGTAAATCCTCTCTTGATAGTATTTTAATAGAAAATGAAGCTTAAGAACAATGTTTCATTAAGCAGAATTTTCAACACACACACACACACACACACACACATATATATATATATATATACATTTAAAAATATTTTGCCTAAAAAGCTATTCATGCTTCCAGTGGTAAGCAACATATGATTTGAAAGCAAGAATTTATCGTAATGGCAACAGTTAGAATATCACTTTGAGGAAATTGTGGGTTTTCCAACTACAAAGTTAAATATAGTCTAATTTGTAATACCAACCTCAGCATTTTGTCACTTTATCAGACTGTGCCTTGCCATTAATGTGGTTCTGATTTAATAGAATTTCTTCAATTTAAGGCTTGAAATATTAGCTAGTATTGTAATAAAAGAGTTCATTTAGCTTTTGTTTCCATTTTGAAGCCTTTCCAAAATACCTTTCTTCTCCCTAGCTAACATGTTACACAGCCCACTTCTTCACAGGTTTACTTCCCGGGTGGTGCTTCTGGATCACTTAAAAATGTTACTTGTATGATATTTCAGTTACAGGTGATAAAATGTATTTGAAAATAAGGACCTATTCAAATTATACCCTCTTGGGTTTTTAAAAGAGCAAAACATAATTGCCCTTAGAACTGTAATTTTGACAGCCAAGAATGAGAGTTTGAAAATTTGATGTTAATATTCCTTTTCCTGCAGGGTTGGACTACTCCCCTCTAGCGGGCCAAGCAAGTTCCCACAATGCCCAGCCTCTGAGTGGTGCTTCTAGGACTACGGGGGATAGAATTACCCTATGTGCTGGTTTTAAGGAATGGGGGAGGTTAGGGAGGAGAGGGAGAAGGAACCTAGGGGCCTATTCCTGCTCTTTGTGTCTTTGCTCTTAACCCCCTTGCCCATTATAGGAAACACAGGGCCAACCACAAAACACTAACCTGGCCCCGCTGAGAAGTTGGGAGAAGTTGCTGAGAAGTTAAGAAGTTGCCGTGTGAACCTCCCATATGGCTAGTCTCCTGCACCCTGTATTGAGTATCAGGCATCATATATTCCCAGGTGCCCATGTATCCTGGGAAATGACCTATTCTGCTCTAGTTCTGTGCCTATCTATAAGTTTGTTCCAGACCCCCTTTCCCTAAAGAGCTTTTATCTATTCATTTATTCTATAAACTTATCTACCCTAAAGTATTAATAACAACCACAAGTATGATGATGCAAAGCGTGCTCTAGAGCAATGCTGTCCCACATACCTTTCTGTGACGATGGAAATGTTCTATGTGTACTTTCCAACATGTCAGCCACTGGCTATCATATGGCTACTGAGCTGTTAAATGTGGCTGATGTGACTGAGGAACTCAATTTTTCATTATATTTAACTTTAATTTAAAAGCCCCATATGTGACTAGTGGCTACTATATTGGATAGCACAGCTGTAGAGATTTGTATCTTAATGCAAAGAATGATAGCTGTGGGGGAAATGTAACTGGCCAACAGGCAGGCTGGCCTTGGTGACCCCTGCAAAAGCCCCTCCCAGAAGGAAAGGCAATCCAGGTCCCCCACTGCCTGGCCCTGCTGGGTACCAGTGGCAGACTCAATTCAATAGAAAATGTTTCAAGGAGAATATAACATGCTCTACTATAATCTGCCTATTTTGATACCATTTCCTTCTTTTTCCCTTGCCTTTTATCCCCCTCAGGTTTCAAAAGAAGACTTTTTGAACTATTACGCTGGTGTTAGTGCTTCTATTGACACGGATGCCTATTTCATTTTAATGATGACAAAATCCTGGAGATTATAACTTTTGTCTATTCTTTTGGAAATAAGGGACTCAGAGTGAATAAATTTCAAAGAAGTATGATGCTACAGATTTTGATAAGGTGTAAACTAAAGTTTCTGAAAGATCTGGGATTTTAAAAGCAATAGATCTTCGGTCATCTTAATTGTAATAATTAAAGGTAATTGTAATAATTAAAAGGATTATAGGATCATCTGACTATACCATTTCCTGGGCTCATTCATTTTAATGTTTCTCTTGGTAAATAAAGTAAAACGTATTTAATTTTGAAATTTAATGACTTCTTTGGTTGCTATTCATATTTTAATTCAGGATTTATATTCAGCAAATCCCCACACTTGCATGGGCAGGGGACATAAGTGATTCTGTGACAAAAGGTAGGTGACTCTGTGGCCTTCTGGGTTGAAGGCTGGGCTCTCATGGGGTGGGATCACTTACTAGATTAGTCTACTGGGATGAAAAGCAGTGCACAGAGCAAAGGAAGTGCCTATTGGTGTCTTCTGGAGCTTTAGGGTTACCAGGGAGGAGGGCTTTGAAACTATTTTAGGAATTCATCCTTTGAACCCACTTCTAAGCTCCTCTCCAAGGGGCAGTGATATCAGGTTTTCTGACCCCAAAGCTTTCCCTGTAAAAACTGCTCCAGTAACATAAATGGCTATAAATTGATTACATACATACTCATAGGCCCTTCATCTTGGAAAAGAGTTAAAACTGAGGGAGAGGAAATAGAAGGCTAGCACTCTATTTCTTAAACTTTAATGGGCACATAAATCACTTGGGGATCTTGTTAATAGGCTTATTCTGATTCAGAAGTCTGGAGCCAGAACTGAACCTCAGCCTTTCTGAAAGTCACACTATGACGCTGATGACTCTGGTCTTCGGGTAACACTTTGGGTGGCAAAGGGCCAGGAGATATCAGGTTGTGTATTTCCAGTTCATTTGGTTTATTACTTGCCCATCTTTAGTTGGTCATCTTAATTGATGGTTTTTGATTGCTGGGCCATCCTCTCCTTATCTTTAAAGTCATGAAGGTCTGAAGGAAGTATCAGAGAAAACATCTAAAGCCTTCCAAGAGGCCTTGTGTGGCCTCTCAGTTGGAGAACTTCTCATAGTCCAGGATGAAGTCCTGCAGCCGTCCAGTCTCAGAGATGTGAATGTGTCAGTCCATTGAGAGTAGCTCTATTTCTTAAAAGAGACCAACACTGAGCAAGATTATAGCAACTGATGCTAAAACTGGGATGCCAAGCCATTAATCACCGTGGAGAATGCAATTCTCATGTTTGCTGAGACCAGATCAGAGAACCTTGCCTGGGTTTGAGGGTATCAGAGAACACCAGCTTAGCTCTCAGTGCAGGAGTGCTTTTAGCGGATAATTCTATAATCTTACCAAGCAGTGCAGAGGATAGACCTGGCATGTTAGGGTAATGCCAGCTGCGGTAAGAAACCCTCAAACTTACAAAAGCTCAAACACGTATTTTCACTCACAAAGCACTCTTGTGGATCACCTGTTCATGGTCAGTGAGCAGCCTTCCTCTGTGTAGTGATCCTGGGCTGCAGGATTCCTCCATTTCATGGTTCCACTGTTTCCTAGGGTTTGTAATCCATGCTGTCCATGTAGATAAAGGGAAAGGGGGTGTAGAGGAGGCTGAAGAAGTTTCTGAAAAACTTTGGTCTGGAAGTGACACACATCACTTCTACTTGCATTCCATTTGATGATAAATAGACATTATTACATCTAAATATAAGGGAGGCTAGGATGTATAGTCCCAGAAGGGAATTTTCTTGTCAATGAAAATCTATCTAATGGCAGATTATAAATTTTGGTGGACAACTAGCTGTCTCTGCCACTTGAAGCTGCAGTCCCCACTGTCTTCCATTTTCTTACGGAGGCTTGCTTGGTCTTGGAAGCCCACATAGAGAGAGATATTTGCCAGTTGGGAGGAGTGTAGAACTGAGGTCTTTCTATCCTTAGTCATGTTAGCAGCAAAGAAAACACCTATGACCATGTCAGGTAATATTTTTCTAAGCAGTCAACCCTATCATTAGGGCCTTATGGTCCCATTATAGGCCTTGGGATTCATGCTGCACCAACACTAAGGCTCATCCCTCATCCACCTCTGATACAGGCCTTGGGATTTTCTATCCATGTCCCAGTGGGGGTTATCAGTGGGGAGTTACAGCTGTCCTCACACACATACTGGAGGCGAGTTATTTGTGTTGGTGGATAAGGAAAATTTTGCCCTAAAGGCAGATCCTCTTGTTGGAAACCAAATTATAATAATGAGATGATTTGGTCATTGGAATCAGAACAAAGGGCATGAAGATTAGAATATTTATGAAATTAGGCTGACAATTTATTGCATTCGTCTTGCCAGTGAGACCATAATATTCCACAAAGAATATTGGAGGGGACTAACAAAGATGCCCTTTCTGACCGCTCTTTCTCAATGCCTCATAGCTGACTACCCATAAGAGTGACACACTCTGCACTTTAAATATATTAATTAGAAATATCAATAAAATCACTCAGGATAATTGTCTGCCTGGGTTGATGTCTCTTTAGGGTACCTTTATATACCTCTGTTCTATCATTGTGCATAAAAGATCACAATAATTTTAATGTTGCTTGGAGAGCTATGTTATTTCCATGTTATCTGGAGTCTGCCTTACTATAGCCCCAGTAAACTGACCACAGAAATCAGATGGTTTCTGATTTCATATTAAAGAGAAAAATTAAATCAGAAGAGAATGATCTTATCTGGAGATAATTCATCAGAATAATTAATCAACACTGTTTAATAAATCACATTAAGGAGATTTAAGGGATTACAAGTGTTACAAACTGACAAAGTCAAATATTATTACAGAAGGAAATTATAGGAAAAATTTTAGAATCAGGTAGAATTAAAAACCAGAATATCACTTAGATATTAGATCTGACACATAATGCCAGCTACCAAAAAAAAAAAAGGAGGAGGAGAGTCTTACTTTCTTTAATTGCAAGAGCCTAGGAAGTAGACATTTGCCCGGGTTGCTCATTTTCACTTGGATGTGTGCACATCGAAAACAACATTCACTATTCCTTTCCCTGTCCTCCATCAGTCCCACCCTCTTCTACCTACACCAAGCATGTTTCTAGGCCTTAGTATCTGAGCACTATGTGTCCAACTGCCTGAGCCAGAAACCCGACGATCTTTGTTCCTTCTCTTGCCAAGAGGCAGAGTAACATTGGCTAAGAGTGCAGACTGGAGCCAACCTGCCTGGTTTAAAATCTGACCCAGTGGTTTACCAGCTGTGTGACCTGCCTTGCAGAATTCAGATTCAGGACTGTAACATCACCTCTTCCCTAATGACATCTTGCTCTACAGATTTTGGACTTGTCAGTCCTCATAATCATGTGAACCAATTTCTTAAAATAAAGCTCGCTCTCTCTCTTCCTACACACACACTATTGGTTCTGTTTCTCTGGAGAACCCTAATACAGAAGTGCAAGGGGCCTGAGGACCCCTAAAATAAGAATTAAACAGCTGAAGAAAGAACATCTTGCTGGGGCCTATGTCTCTGACTTGGGGGGGCCTGCCCTAATTCTGGGTGGTTAGTGCCGGAACTGAATTGCCCTACACTCAGCTGAGGTTGAAACAGAGTGGGATAAGTCATTATTTGCTAAACTGGCTCATATTTCAAGGTCCGGTTCAGAACTTAAACCCTTTACAAAGATTTTGTCAATCTTTTTTATATACCTCTGTTCTATCATTGTGCATAAAAGATCACAATAATTTTAATGTTGCTTGGAGAGCTATGTTATTTCCATGTTATCTGGAGTCTGCCTTACTATAGCCCCAGTAAACTGACCACAGAAATCAGATGGTTTCTGATTTCATATTAGAGAGAAAAATTAAATCAGAAGAGAATGATCTTATCTGGAGATAATTCATCAGAATAATTAATCAACACTGTTTAATAAATCACATTAAGGAGATTTAAGGGATTACAAGTGTTACAAACTGACAAAGTCAAATATTATTACAGAAGGAAATTATAGGAAAAATTTTAGAATCAGGTAGAATTAAAAACCAGAATATCACTTAGATATTAGATCTGACACATAATGCCAGCTACCAAAAAAAAAAAAGGAGGAGGAGAGTCTTACTTTCTTTAATTGCAAGAGCCTAGGAAGTAGACATTTGCCCGGGTTGCTCATTTTCACTTGGATGTGTGCACATCGAAAACAACATTCACTATTCCTTTCCCTGTCCTCCATCAGTCCCACCCTCTTCTACCTACACCAAGCATGTTTCTAGGCCTTAGTATCTGAGCACTATGTGTCCAACTGCCTGAGCCAGAAACCCGACGATCTTTGTTCCTTCTCTTGCCAAGAGGCAGAGTAACATTGGCTAAGAGTGCAGACTGGAGCCAACCTGCCTGGTTTAAAATCTGACCCAGTGGTTTACCAGCTGTGTGACCTGCCTTGCAGAATTCAGATTCAGGACTGTAACATCACCTCTTCCCTAATGACATCTTGCTCTACAGATTTTGGACTTGTCAGTCCTCATAATCATGTGAACCAATTTCTTAAAATAAAGCTCGCTCTCTCTCTTCCTACACACACACTATTGGTTCTGTTTCTCTGGAGAACCCTAATACAGAAGTGCAAGGGGCCTGAGGACCCCTAAAATAAGAATTAAACAGCTGAAGAAAGAACATCTTGCTGGGGCCTATGTCTCTGACTTGGGGGGGCCTGCCCTAATTCTGGGTGGTTAGTGCCGGAACTGAATTGCCCTACACTCAGCTGAGGTTGAAACAGAGTGGGATAAGTCATTATTTGCTAAACTGGCTCATATTTCAAGGTCCGGTTCAGAACTTAAACCCTTTACAAAGATTTTGTCAATCTTCCAGCAAGTTTAACCTGTTCTTTTATTCTTCTATGCCTCTTTTGTTGAGTATGTATATATCTTTATATTACAATCTACTAGTTAGATGTATAAGGAATATTTATTTTCTCTAATACATGTTTAGACTTGGAGCACTGCCCCATTTAGGATGACTGGCAGAAAATAAAACAAATCTTTCCTGGTTCTGCCACCTAAGGTTATTGTATGGTTCTTAGATCTGGTATTCAGGGGAGGGAGAAGGGTATAATCCCAATTCATACGTGTTATCCCTGAGACATCTACTGTTCCTGTTTCCAGGGTCTCTTAAATCCACAGAATCTTGGTAGCTTCTCTACCATACTTGGGAAATGACTATTTTAAGAAGCTGTCAATGGGATGAA